TTTTTATCCATTTCGTCCGAGAACTCGAGAAGCCCCATGGGTACGGGGTGGATCTGAGTATTCAGTATAGCAGACATTCCTCTCCAGTGCAGTTCATTCATGAAAGTACATCGGTTCAACTCGTGAAACTGGAAAGCCATTCATCGTGATCCATGAAGTCGGGGATCTGCTCGGCGCACTGTATATGGACCAATTTCGGTTAGGGTGCTAGAGCAAAGCCGTTACTAAATTCACCGGTTACACCCTCCAAAGTCAAAACACGCTCATGGTTCTGAACGAATGCCGAGTATGACCGTTGTTTGACCAGTATTTGAGGATTTAAGAAATCCTCCGCATAGCGCTCCGTTGAAATTTGATGGCTGCATTTCGCAACGTGGAAACTCGAATCACTTTGCATTCAGTGCGTGCTTGTGGGAACATAGTATTGTGGGGGAAGGGAACGTCAAAGTCTTTTGTAGTCTAAAATACATAGGTGTTCCACTAATTATGCACCACCCTGTACGTTCTCCGTCAACACGTTTCGAAAAGACGGTTTATCTTGGTCTACTCCTGATCTACCCTGCTCTAGGACCTCCTCCCAACAATCGCAAATACGACTCCCATCCCTTTTTGAAAGGTCGGCTACCACAAGCGACGGGCGTCTGTGAGGATGATGACACAAATTCGTGTCCCGAGAGTCGCAGAGTAGAGTAAGTCGCCCCTCTACGCCAATGCGTCATGATAGGAAGTGAAAGCGTGGCGCAATCCCAAAAAGGATTTGACCAATGCAAAACATTTTATCCTTTTTGAACGCGCAAAATGAGCTCTATAAACCTGAATTAGAGTCAAACGCGAATTCTTCCCAAACCTTTCTACAGAATAGTTTGCACTTGGTCCTACAATGACTTCTGCTGCGGCTGCTGGATAATAATGATGCGCTGTGCTTATGGTTAGCCCTGTAGGACGAGTAAGGCAGAGCTGCTCGTGTGTGTGTTATTATTTCACCCCTTCATACTACCGGTGAGCTCACGTCCACGATCGACAACTGTACTTCGAAAAATGAATTTTATTTCGAATCATATACGTCCATATTTGATTACCGTACATATAATAGTATCACAGATTATAGGGAGGCCGCAACAGCAATCATTCCTTGGAATACTTGGCGACAGCGAGAGAATGCTTATCGATTTTCATAGAAGCGACGAATCGCTATGGGTCGCAAAATAGGCACCGGAAGGTACGGTAGACTCAAGCAAGGTGCTTGTTGATAAGATCGTCGAGAGTCATTTCGAGATACTCATTCGTTCCTTTCATGCCAGCGATCACCTGTAAACAAATAAAGGCTTTTTCTAGTAGGCTTCCATGCTCCGAATGAACAGTACCTCTTTTGACCATCTGAAGTACTCCTTGACTCGTCGTCGATCCCAACCCACTGGTGTCTGGCGTTCCAAATCGCGTAAATTGTAGAGTTTGTCGGCCAAATGAACAAGTTTCGCCTGAAATACGAAACGACCTCGACCGACGCCGTTGACAATGTTAGTGGCCCGTGAACGAACCCTCATCTTTTGCGAAACTTTGCCCGCTCATCAAAGACCAATGGGAAACTTGACTGAACACATCGCTTTAGCAATGTCCTTGTAACTCAATTGACCGGGGATTAGGGAACGTTACGGCGAACAAGACAACGGAGCGAGCTGAGCCTCCCCGCGGGTCTTACGAGTGGAGTTCAAGTGATTCGGGGATTTTTCCTCGCCACAATTGTATGGGAATACTAAACCTGACGTGGACATGGGTGGTCTTTCACAAAGTCCTGTTCTGAAGACAGTCGAAGAGGTGACAAATGAGAAAGATCCCCAGATGCTCCACGAGCTTCATTTCCATTCAAATTTACATCAATGTTTGAACGTTTAATTGCCAGACCTGTCGAGGACATCCGATGTCCATGTCAGTGTCCTTACCTTCCCAAAGGAGTGTGGTAACCCACAAATATTACCCACACTACACACCCGCACACAATGCCTAACAAGGTTGGCAGTATGCGAAAGGGGCGCTTAAATAAGCGCAGTTTTAGATTAGACGGAAATGATGTTAATGGCATTGCGCTGCTTACGTGCTCGCGTTTCGGGGTATCCCATGTACCTTGATTCGTTCGGGGATAGCAACCAACCTTCATCACAGACAAGTTTAGGCTAATAGGTCTTAGACTCGTCTGGGAAGCGCCAACGGCACGTATCTATAATCAGCTGGGCCCCACAGCTCGTTTAATATGAGGTCAGATACGCGTTCAAAATGCCCCTTATGCTTCTGAAATGGAAGTAGGAATGCGTGGCGCATCCGAAACATGCATCATGGGTCAAAATCATTTTTGTCCTTTTCCCTTTTGGAATGGTAAACTTGCAAAATTTTTTGTCAGGGGCAGGAGAAGAAGTCAGTTGCCTAACGAAATCAAACTAACAAGCTCTAAATATAATACATTTTATGTACGACGACACAGTCCTCTGTGTAGAATACTACACCCAGGAGACGGCGCGAAACTCCGCATTAGTTACTAGGCTATTGAACTACGAAAACCGAGAATAAAAGTCCTACAAGAAGAAAGGATTATCTGTAGCTCTGACGTACTTCCCGTGCTGTGTTTTTCGCTTTTGCCGCAAAGAAAATCGCTTTGTGTTAACAGGTTGTTCGATGATGTGTCAAGATAACATCCAAAAGCAAGGCCAAATGAATCGCGAAGAATTACGATCGAGTGACGGGAAGGTGAAAGAGCACATTTTTACCGGACGGGGTCGATCTCGGAGTTGAGAAAGTTCAAATTTTAAGAACACTCTATTGCCCTATTTGGATGAAGTTTTTTTTTTTAAACAAGGCTCGACTCTGACTTGTTCGCGGTTTTCGAAGAGCCGAAAACTTTAGAAGGGAATAATATCAATTAAAGGGAATGATGGTATAAGTGGAATCGATTTGGGGAGGGCCACGCGGTGGCGCGGCGTTCCGTATAACATGGTGACTCGCGCCTTCAAGGAGGCTCTAATGTGCAAAAGTTTGATTTTGCGGAATCACAAGTTATAATGTTCTCTTAATTACATGGCGCTTGAGAGACGGCGCCACTGCGTGGTCCTTTCTCTACCTCCCCCCCCCAACTCTAGTAACTAAAGTAATACCACAATACCTTGTGGCGAATGATTAGGAGGCGTTCTGCGATTGCGGCCCTCTTTGCGACGTCTGCTCGGCAGTGTTTGTATCAGTAACATTCCTTCACGATGTCATCGACTCTTGAATTCATTAAACGAAATATATCCTTTACGTAATTACGTAAACCGGTTTTAAATTCATTGGAAAATTCTTTGAAGCGCTCCATTTGTCCTCATTGATTAAAGAAAAATAAGCCTTAGTGTCAAAATTCGGCCCAGTTTGATCCAAATGGTAATTGAGCTTCGTCTGCCCGAAGCGGTTCCTGTCAATTCTCTCGTTATTGGCAAAGGGAACTTACTTTCAACATGTGAGTCTACAGTCATAAATTAACCCATTATTTCACACAACGCCCTCAATCCACTTACAAGGGAGGTCGTTCAGGGTGTGGAGCGCTTTTTCAAAACGGTTTTTTGCATGCTGTAGGGGCTCTCACGGGGACGACAATACTATGTTTCATTTTCGCTGAGCGGCCTTCTGAAGGCCAAAAATTGGTAGGGAAGTGGTCCAAGGTTCAATCCCTCTTGATGACAGAATTTTTGCACTTTAGTTGGAGCTTCGAAATTTCCTTAAAATAGCGCCAGCACCAGTACTAGGTATCGTACTCATCATTAAGACCATGAGCAAGAAATGCAGTCAAACTTTTTCCAGAATCTGTGGAAAAAAGTTGTAGCGCCAGAAAGGCGCCAAACGGCGCCAAACTAGCGTAAATTGAAGCTATCGGAAAAAAAATGATGTCATATTCGTGATCAGGGCACTCGATATTCCCTAAATCAGAAGTTCTTGAGAAAATTGAGAATTTGACCTGGATCCGAAAAATTGGCCAGTGATAGGTCAGTAGCCCATAGTTGCCTCCAGCCGGTGCACTGGAAACGAGTTCCCAGTTATCCTTCTCAAATAACGAGAAGTATCACTGCTAAATGGACAATGGGAGACACCCAGGCTGGTAATGGAGCGGAGGTCGTTTCAAGGCCTTGATGAAAAAACTCCTTATGTGTAAACTTGCAGCGATTCGTTAAAAACAAGGGTTGCGCCAACCAATGCTGTTCGCGCCAATTTGCACCATTTTGACACTAGCGCCAAAAATAGATGTCATATTCGTGATCAGGAGCTTCGATACACCACACAGGAAGTTTGAACAAAAATTTTTTTGATCCATCTCACCTTCACTGGGGTTGTAAAGTGCACTAGTGCCAAAAAGTCTTTACCTGCACTCGACATTTTTCACATTGACGACATAAATAAATGTGAAAAAATAATGAAAAAATAAATGTTGCTTTTGCATATACCGTGGCCTCAACTAAAAAGGGTGGGCCTGGTTTAAAAAGGTTCGCTCACACCTCTTCTCCGAATTCTCGCTTGATCTCCTCAAGTGTGGTTTTCGTGTCTTCAACGGTGTCATGGAGCAGTGCAGCAGCAAGTGTGACCGCATCGAATACCTTCGCTTCGTTCGTCAGAATGTAAGCTACACCTGAAAGAAAGTTTGGCAGATGCTTTCGGAATAGTTATTTCAGAAGCTCAAACTTTAAGCAAATGAAGCATCCGACCTCCATCGATTCCATCTCAACATTAATCAAGTTCTGATTGATCTCAAAGGCACGGGACGGAACCGAATTGCTGTGCTATTTTATTCGGACATTAGACCGAAAGAGCCTAGAGGAACGCTAATGGGGAGAAAAAGCAAAAGGCGCCCAAAAAAAACACCGAAATTTCCCTTGTGAGGTTGGCCGTGGTATGACCTCGCGACCCCTATGCTTGGAAATCTACATATCTTTCTAGTTCAAGAAGGAATGGCTCTTGGCACCTGACCCAACCCGCGGCTTCAAAGCTTTGCATTAGAATTGGAATGGTTTTACCTACGCAGTGTTGTCCTTCACAACAACTTGCAGGCATTAGCCGAATAAAACCCCATACTTTCCTTACAAGATTCTGTTTTCAACTAACCGACCTTGAACTTAAAAATAATCTTTTCTCCAACCGGCATTTACCCAATCTGAGTATTTTCTTTGGTTGACTTTTACGTGACTATAGTCAGACTTGTCGTGTATAGTAAGTAACAGAGGTGCTTACTACTTTCCATTTCCTCATATTCGCAGAATACCTCCAGCCAATTCTCGAAAGGCACCTTCTTCGTCAATATTTGTGGATTTTCGCTCGAAAATGAAAATGGAGGTTCAAAGAGGACCGGTGTTGAAAAAAATGCAGAAGAGACCATCGAAGATGATTAGAGCGGGTCCATTTTTCGTGAGGTGGACAGCATTGCCGCGAAGAGACTGCGAGCCGAGGAGAGAGAGCAGACGAGAAAGCACAGCTGCGATGGAGACGCAGACACTCTAATGCGTGGACCGTTGCGTTGCGAATAAAAGCTGCAGCCGGAATGACAAGGCTTCAGCTCCCTTGTCTCGTACTTTCAAGCCTTGGAAACAGCACATTTTAAACCCTGTACTCAGCCCTATCAGAGAAGAGCCAGGCTTGTCTGGAGCGGATATTCTGGAGGGCGTATCAAACTACGGCTATCTGCATGAGGAGATGAACCTTATGGGTCGTCACCCATCTGAAAATCGCAACCTATGAATCCTTACCCTTCTTGTGGCCTCTCCTCCTACTTCGTAGTTATTCTATAGTCTCTCAAAGAAAAATTCGATATGAAAATATAGCGCTCATTAAGAGATTGCTGACCAACTGGAGAAAAAATATTCGCCAAAAAACTAAAAAACAAAATTCATACGGAAACCTTACCAATGGGATGATTCACGTACGGTGTACCAGCATGATCCTTACGCTTCTGATGACGATGCCGTCTTGCAGCTAAATCGGCCGCCTTCACAACTAGAGCTAAATCTTCCGGTCCATGGTCCATGAATTTTGCATCGATACAGACTCCGATTTCCTTCATGATATCGGGTAGAAGCTGTTACCTTTGCGTTTCAAATACTCATTTCTCCCGGTTGCTGTAATATGTAGCACTACTGAAAACGCACTCAACTCCTTATCAATCAAACACCTCTGCAACTCAATCACAAGAGAGGAAACTACACCGAGCAATGAACGACGACAACAATAGAGCAGATTGAATGGGGGTGGCCTGGATAGATTGAGGCTGGAGGCGCGATCGACCGATTTCGCCGATCGATGGCCGATCCGGACAGGTTTCTAAGGTGACCGATGGTGTAAATGGTTTCCTACCATGTAATGCGTCGTCACCGATCGGATTACTCATTTCATAGTAGCCTGGAATGGACTGGTTCCAGAGAATACCCAGCGCAAAACCTCTAGGATCTCAAGGATTCACAAGCCTCATGAGAGACACCCAAGAGAGAAATTACTGAAAAATATGCGTAGACCTCCTGGGATCCGCAAAAGGTGACCGATTAAACATCAGCAAGTTTATCTGCCATGTTACGCCATTCCCGCCTCAGTACGCGATCTGATACGAGTGGCGCCCAAACTACAAAGATAGCACGTGCGTTAGCCGGCTTTCAAACCGGTATTTTCTCCTTTCCTTGTCGATAATGTACCAAAGTACGAAGAGAAAGAGCAAAAAGTCCTTGACGAATGTCGTATAACTTCGTATGTTTACCAAGTCAATAACACAGGCATCACCAAATTTCCCAGACGCCACTCTCCTCGCATGCAAATAATTCCGAAATATCCACGAATGGATGAGTGGAAAGTTATGTAGATCGACATGCAAGAAAGTAAAAACTTCACCTTAGTTATTCATCCCTTCAAGCAAGTTGAGATTAAAATACAGCCCCACTATAAGGTTGGTAGAGTGGTGGTTGACGCTGCTGTGCAGAAAATAGGAAAATAGTCCAGACCCGAAAGCGGTACCACCTTCTTCGCCATTGATTTGCGCGTTTGCGCGTCCAACGTGTGCTCGTCACCTTTAACCGCTCTCCTCGGTCGGCGAGCGCTAGAGTCAGGGGTGGCGCAGTCGAACGCCCCATTGAGGAATAGCCTGAAAATCGCGGAGAGCATGCTCTTCGCTGCAAAGCCCGCCCCCGCTGCCTTCCACAGGCACATTTTCTCTTCTTTGACTGCCGAACTCCTTTAAGACTCCTCAGAGTCTGAAGAAAATCAGAGACCCTTGAAGGCAAAACTGGACGAAGTGGTGTAGTGACAAGTGGCGCGCTTACCACGCGAGCGGTCCGGGGATCAAATCCTGGGTCGTGAGTCCCGGGCCAACCAAGCCTTCCATCCCTCCGGGGTCGGTTAATTGGTACCAGACTTGTCTGGGAGGATAAAAACACTGACTTGTACATCGGCTGGCCCCCGCAAGTCATTGTATATCGCATTCAAACGCCACTACGAATGTACAAATGGAAGTAGAATGCGTGCCGCATCCCAAAAGGGATTGATCAACGGCAAATGCTTTATCCTTTATCCTTTTATCAGAAATTTTCAAAGCAACTTTCCAGCCTTTTTCTTCACAGTAAGACTCTTGCCCAAAACTGGAACACGAGCCCTCTCCCAGGGTAAATATGACCCCCTCGCGGGGATTCCTAGGTGAAAACCCTGTCCTGGAATCCGCTGTAATAAAAACGTTCATGGATGAGCTGATGTACAAATCAGTACATTTATTTTTGCAAGTAAGTTTCGTTGTAATTGATCGGGCACAGTGAAATGAGAAGTTTGATAATTTAGGGCAGAATCTGCTCCTAAATTTGACTCCCGGAACAAGGAGGCGATAGAATTTTCGCTTAGTTCGCCTCACTCACGCCATTTTTTTGCTGTGAAAAAGAAAAGCTGATGATTGCTTTGGAGGAGCTGCGATTGCTGACAGCCCTTGTGAATCGAAAGCAGTTAATTAGAAGAGGTTGCATTCAAAATTCACTGACGTTCCAGGTCACCCTCCCCCTTTTTTCAGTATGGTGAGCGCATTTTAGCTTGATTATTATAACTAATTTTTTTCATTTCTATAGTGAGACGAGCACGCATCCGTTCCAAAAAAGATATACCAAATCTACAAAGTCAAAGGGTTCCGACAATTATGTGGCTGTTGCACTTACTTGCCTGCCACTTGACTCTTAAAGGTCTAAGTTTTTTAAGAAGGACTGAACTTAAGAAACTCAAAAGCTTATAAAGTTCAGTCCTTCCTTACTTTCAAACAAAAAGTTCGCATCTTATACAACCATTTGGAATGCGCCACACACCCGACTTGCTGTCTGCAT